AATTGTTTTGGGAAAAGAAAAAATATATGGCTTCTCAGATCCCTTTTTCTCAGGTAATTCTCCCAGTGTGACTTTAGAGATCAGAATGTCTTGTGAGTTATGGCCTCTTAAATTTCAACTCGGGACCATTCACTCAAAAAAAGTAGCTACAAGCAAGTAAACCGTAAGTGGTTTTGTTCGAAGTTATCTCTTCTAGAAGTGATCAGGCAGTCATAAATATACTTGCTTTCAAAAATATGTGAAAACCAGAAGTCTAATAAACAGGAATGTTCCTAACCATGGTCAGAAGACGGCATTAAAGGCTTTCATCAGCCCAAAACGCACCTATTTTTGACAATGGCTGGTGGTGGTTTTGACACAGCACACTACCATTGTCAGTATAACACATAAAGGCGCCTTCGCCCATCACAGCGTTTCTCAGGGGGATGTCAAAGGTAGGATCACAACACTGCACAGCACTACTACTTTGGAAATATTTTTTGTGCATTTTAAGACCATGTGAGCATTGCATCATTAAGAGGAGCACAAGGGGTCACTGCTTTGCCACCGCAGTTCCTCTAACCATTTGGAAAGGGGAGGACTACCAAATTGTTTCATAGGTCAAATTTTCAGACTTTCTGGATGAAATTTAAATACGTTATCCTGGAGATAAATGCTTTCTATCAGACCATCAATCCCTGAAGCCGTAGAAGTCCTAGGTTAAAAATTCAGTGTATAAATTAAAGGATCCACTGTCGTAGCTCTGAATCAGGAGCTCTGCTTACAGCCCCTTTTAAATCTGGTCTGGTAAATTAAATCATATATTTTAGACATTGATGCTGATCATGAATAAAAGGTCTTCAAAAACACGTTGCCTTTAGCGTACCTTCACTTTTCAGGTTAATTTATCTGCTAGAAGAAATTTTTTCTCATAATATATTAAATTCAGTTATATAACATCAAAAAAGATGCAAGCCAGTCATCTTCAGGAGAACTGGAAGATAACTGTGAAATCCCGCTTTAAGAGACAGACCTTTTTTCAGCTGGTGAAAGTCACGAATATGAAGAAACAGAGCACAACCGTGCAGGCTGGGTAATGTTAGCCTACTTTACTTAGATCTGCCAAGCTTCTGCAAACACAACTGTCCCCTGTCCAGGGAACGATCTTTCTTACAGATTTGCCAAATCCAGACTTTGTAGATTGGGTCTGGAACATTGCCTTGCCCATTTATCAACAGGAAGCCTTCAATAGACAGCAAGGGCAATTACAATTCTACAATAGCTGGGTTTGTAAAAAAAAAAAAAAAAAAAAAATTCTTTCTCTTCGAGTTTGGTAGCCTTTTCTGGGGTGAAAACTATGCTAACATAAGCAGGTGTGGTAGCCTTGTTGACTTTCCCAGTGAGGACTCCCACAGCTGTTCCCAAAACCAGCAACATAAAATTGTGTGTCAATTCTTTATCTTCCTTTATAGTGACAGGTTGCGACTACCAGAAACTTCTTTCTTTGTTTCACGCCAGCGATGGCAGTTAATCGTTTCTGGAGACCTACATGCAAGCAAGACATGGCAGATCGTAGCTAGTTTGAAGCTACATGTTCTGACTGATCAGCTGGCTGCTGCCAGAAAGTGTGAGTCCCTGTCTTTCTTTTAAGTGCAAGTATTCATAAGGTCCCTCTCTTCTCCTCAAATTCTCTAAAAAAAAAGGTTGAAAATTAATATTCTCTTGCCTGCTGCCAAATCTGGCCAGAGGTGGCTGGCATATTCAAAATAGCGTATCCCTTTTCAGGAACGCAGAGAGAGAGTGATCACATAAACCATGTTTCCTTAGGGAATTGGGAACCGCGGGAAATAGCTGGAGTTACAATTAGCTTTTTCAAATGTCTCTTGTTTTAGATAGTCTTCTGAGAGAAGGATAAAGCAGCTGAAATTCATGCTCCTATTACAGTACCCAAACGCTGCAAAAGCAGAAAACCCCCAGGAAATTCTAGATTCCAGACTATATAAAGAGATGCCCAAAGTGCGGCCAACTCGACAGAAATCTGTCCTTCCCAAACCCAACCCAACCCAACTCCACAAAAGACAGCAGGGAATGCCACCAACTTCCCTCCGTTCCCCTTCCCGCCAGAGGCTGCCAAGGTCACGCAGGGGAACGATAACAGGATGGGGATGTTTGAGCAAGGTCATAACAGGGACTGGTGTGGACAACCGGGGTGGGCTGGCCCACAAGACTGATGTTCAAGACAGTGCAACAAGCAGGTGCGTGCAAAATTTGACATACCAAATGTTTAGAAGCGGAAATACAGAAATAACTGTGATTTTGGTACGATACTTATCCTGGTACCTACTTCTGCCTGTTCATGACAAAGCCAAGCTAGGTTATCTACGCTTCTAAGGTAGACACCATTATTACGTCGCTTAGTTACTTTAGATACTCAATTACAAACTGAAGCAGAATAGAGCTAAATCTCCATTCAGTTTATTATTTCTGATCATTTCAGTTCCATTTTTGGTAGACTGACATTTTATTTTCCTTGAAGTCTCTGATCCTGAAACCATATTGTTGTGAGACAATCTTTTCACTTGTATTTATAGTCCGCACGTCCCATAAAACCATGTGCGTTTAAAGATGCAATCCAACGCAAACTGAAAATCTGATGGCAAATAAAATCAATTCCAAATTCATCATTGTTTTACCTTTCTAGATATAAGCAGGCTTCATAAATATTTCTGCATTAACAGGATTAATTAGCAATAAATTTGGGAAAAAACATGGCATGGTTTATATTCTTTAAAGATCTTCACTGAAAGGTTTTATGACCAGGTACTGAGGAACTACTGTAAGTTGTCTCTCCACAACCAGCTTCAAAAAAATTCACTTCTACTATCGCAAGTCTAGCCTCCACATGACTCTACCAGAGTGTATTTGTGGCTTTCATTTTTTACCCAAGAGTTATTACCCCGAGTCAAAAATCACATGCACGTTTTGGAACTTTACTATAGCTTTTTTATTTATAGAAGTATCTATTCTTCACAAGGCACTTCATATTCATTTGCATAGTTCATTTATTTCTTTATTTCTGATACTTTGTTTACCGTAATATGAATATGAAATCAAGAACTTGTATTTTTCTTCACAGCTCAGCTAAAATTTACTTAAGATCAAAATCATTAGTCTCATCCTTAGTTCATAAATCAATTTAATTACATTAACATTTAACAGATTCAAAAAACTTTTTTTTTTTTTCATTTTAACAGAAACATCCTAGATCATAAGAACTTGAAACCAACAGTGATTCATCTTTTCAGACTGCAAACACTACTGCATATAAATCACAAGGGACCAACAGTGAAAGCTACACCATGCTCTGCGCGCCTCTGTTACCCCACTACCTTTGCCATTATGAGATGAACACATTGTGTTAAACTGGTACCACACGGAAGATTAGCAGATGAGCAAACAACAGCGATGAAGGCCGAAAGCCGAGAGCACAACCAACGTTCCTGTGGATATAGGAACCCTATCAACTTCCTATAGATTTTTTGGCTATTAATTTTCTAGTATTTTTAATGACCAAGCCGACGGAGCAGCACAAGGGGAGTGGGAACACACTTCCTAAGTAAGAGGATTTTGTCTCCAGCCAGAGGTATATGCAAGCTTTTGCGCTGCTGGTAAATCCGACAGAAAACCAAAACTACGGACGAAGAAATACTTATTCCAAAACATAATCCGTTGTCAGCAAAAGCTTTTAGCTATGATTAGGGTTATTTAAAAATTACCCAGAATTGGTTTCCTACCCAAAGAGTCCACACTGCTTGCTCTCTCCTCCAGACACACTCGGTGCCAAATCTGGTGTAGACTCCTTTTCATAGGAAAGCTTGTCAGAAATGTAAGTCAAATTGCTAGCAAAATATTTGCCGTTAGAATTCAACTTCAAAGACTCAGTTCAAAGACTTCTGGTAAAAAATACAAAGGAAAACCAAGAAAAAATGTACGAAAATGAGAAGTAAACCTCTCTGAAGTTTTGTACTGACTGCCAGGGTTAGTCAAAGACTAACATACAGCAGATCTTTAAATTTTAACTGCAGTTTCAATTTTACAATTAGAGAGTTTCAGTAGTTACAGTACAAATCAGAAATCAGAAATGGAAGAATAAGTTGAATTTTTAAAAAGTGTCCTATTTCCTATGTGTAAGGAATTCTGAACACCGAACTGTGGCAGACAAAAAATATATTAATCACACTCAGAAAAGAAATGTGGGTACTAAGAGACCAAATGAGGATTGTACTGCAAATTAATATAAAATACAGCAGAAATAATAAAATATAATAATTTTACATCAGGGATTACTATTGCCAGGCATTTTAAGAAATGTTTTTATTTACATTTTCAGAGATATTACAACCCAAAGTTACACTAGAAATTAATACAAAGCAGGATAAAATACCAAATGTTGCATAAATACAGGAAGAGATCAAACAAACACTAAGACATCCTGAAATCAAAACAACAACAAAATTTTTCATTCAAGACATCTAGTTATGTTAAATCAAACCCTGGTTTTAATCATTAAAGCTGTAATTATCTCAAAAGATAATTTGATAAGATACCTGCCTGTTACCTAGCAACCATAAAATAAATAAATGAATTCATAAAACTCTCTGAAGAGTCAAAGGTAGCTAAGATTCATACCTGTAAAGAAAGGTTGGTATTTCTGATCTGCTTACTCAGGGCATCCAATTCCTTAGATCACACGAGTCATTCAGAACAGCAGCATTATTTCACTTCTTTAAAAAGTATTGAAGAAAGCCATTTAGCATATTACGCAAGTTTTCTTTTTCCTTTTTATGAATAAGGGAAATATCAATGACATTCCACATGATACAGAGTAACTTATACAGTACTGAGGTTCTGCTTAATTTATTTTTATAGAAAACAGTAAAAAAAAAAAAAAATCCAAATTTCAAGTAACATAGGCAGTTGGTGTAAATTACACAGAACAATAATTAGATCGAAAGATAGTGCTAGGGACTTGTGCTTAGACTGGAGGTAAGAGAGTTACTCCTCGACAATCCCAAATTCAACAGAATTGAATTGAGGTTTACATAGAGGAAAGCATGATCTGGATTTGTAGTCCTATGTAGTTCTTGGATCATTTGGTGAAGTGTAAACAATTCAAACATCTTCTTATTGCTTCTGCAAAAGATTTTACATAAAATAATTGTCAATTGAAAATTGAGAGATTTCATCTAAACACTAAAGATTCTACAGAAATTTTTTTTTTTTAATGAAGAAAAATGTGCATTATATTGGGAGCTTCCTATAATTCTTCTGCGTTGCATACAATGTCTCTAAGCAGAAGGTTATCAATGTGCGGTGAGAAAAATCTAGGCAAAAATCACCAAAAACTATCATTTCACTTGAGCAAGGGGTATTTACATGTAGTATAATGAAAACTCAAGGCAAGGCTATCACAGGGTTTCACTAATGTGAAATAAGATTCCAGAAACAATAAATGAAAAAAATTAAATAACTAGGATTTCTGAGCAAATTTTACTTTTAGTATATTTCCAATGTAAGTTATGATTTACATTAGATTATTTTATAGGAAAACATATTTTTTTTCCTAGAGTTCAATTTTGTTGCAAATAAAGTCAAATGAAAACCTCAGTTTTGTCAACAACTTCAAGTCTAATGTAAAAAATGGCTTGGTTTAGATATCTGCTTTTATAAATGAAACAATCCCATTAAGTAATGCACCAATGAAACTCAGCAGCACATTACTACTGATATGATGAAGACCTTTGTTACGATAAACTAATAACCAGCAAGCAACGGGAAAATATTTTATAAAGATTAACATTCCCAAAAGGGCTTAAACGGCTCAAGACTTTAAATTTTGTTCTTGAAGGAAATAAAAACCAATGAAACTTCAATGCAAGTCACAGACGAGGCTAAATTTTCAAAGGAGATTACCACCAAGTACCGAGTCAAACTGAAGGTCAAGGGGAAAGAAAAGAAAGGTTCTCTTCTAAGCATTCTTGTCATCTGCATACATAAGGAATATTTCCTCTTTAGGCTAGATTGTGGGTTTTTGTTTAGTTTGTATTCTGTAAATTAACTGGATTTATAAGCAAATTTACTCTTGTCTTACACATCTGTGACACAAAGAGTTTAAATTTAACTGCTAACGGAGAAAGTCCAGCATTGTCCACGGTAGAGCAAATAAACAGCAGAACAGAGATGAGTTTTTGAAAAAGGAGAAAGATAAAGGTCCCGAAGTGTGCTGATCTAATAATAACTAACAGAATAATGGTAGTAAAGGATTACTTTATTCTGGAGAGTTTTTGCAGTATAACACAGAGCTTTTCCAAAATCTGAATATCTAGCTTAGAACTTCGAAGCAATACAGAGCAAGTACGGAAGAAGGATTCATTACTGCAGGCTTCCAGGAAAGGCTGTAAGGAACCTGTAAAACAAAATAATTAAAAAACTGTATCACAGAGCTCTGTGAAGGGAAAAGCTATTGATACCTTGAGAGGGCTTTAAATGCCTCATGTTGTGCAACAATTAGAACAATGAAATAATTCAGTTTATGCTGGGCACGTGATGCAAAACTCAGGTAAAATTAGGAACTGAAAAAATGCAAGTTCCTAAGAGTTCTGACATTACCAACCCTTGTATTAAAACAAGGCCTATTCCCTTGAGAACAAAGGAAAACAGGAAACAGAACCATTTTAAACTCAAATAAAAATTCTTACCTTGAACATGTTTATTCAATGATCATTTATCACAGTTCTTTCCTTTTGATCAAGTGAGGGGAACATTAAGCCATGCAAAGAGACTCACAAGGAAATATTTTAAGCTGCTGCAAATCACATGGACTGGGATAGTACATGAAGAAGCTAATGTGATGCCTGACAGCCTTTCATTATCAAAATACCGTCACTGTACTCTGTTTCAAGACAGGCAAAATAATAATTGAGAGGTAAAAGTAAGAGCTGGATAAGAACACTTAAATACTGACAAAACTCCCTTAAAATAGTGGATGAATTTTTAAGTCACATTGTATAACATTACCCTCTATCCTGTTCCCCAAAATCTAATCACTTCAGAGTAAGGTTAAATCTGTTCCCTCATTATCTCATTCTTGGTTCTGATATTACAGATTAATTTATAGCAAAACATAAAGAAAATAAGTAACAACAGATTTTTTTTAAAAAATTAAGTCTTTCATATAGCATAGGCCATTTGCATTAGAAGAATACAGATGTGAGGAAAATATTCTAATGTTTACATAATGTTAAAAATATTTAATGTTACACTTAATAAGAAACGGCAATATGCAAACTAAAGCACAAACCAATGAACATAGACATTAAAAAAATTCTTCGCACATACACTGAATACTGTAATTTATGAATAGGATGTCAAGATGCTTTTATCAGTTCAAAGAGGGCTGGATGTATCTTTTGGCCAAAATTTTCCCTTTCCTTGTCCAAGGACATACAATTTATTAAATACAACAAGTAGCCTTGGAGTGAATTCAAGGTTTTAATTTATTTCAGGAGGCCTACTGATACAAAATCAGAAGAAACGCTACAGAAAACTGTTTGGAATAGGGCTTTAAAAAAAAATCCACTTGGCAATTAAAGTCAGCTTGAGAGCCTAAACAACTAATTTTCTCAGAGCTGGGCATTTATACTGAATATTCAACATGGACCCAGGAATTCCTAGACCTTACTCTTAGGAAGAAGATCTTTCAAAACCTGTATTTTTTGCAAAACAATAGCATGTCATTTGACTACACCAACAAATGACCCAGTGTCACACACCCCCCCATGCTGAGTACATCTTATCATGCATTATACTATACAGTGAAGTCAACGAGATTCGTGGGCCTTTGCTGGTTTACACTGTCAGAAGAAGAGACCGAGAAATAGCAAATGCCTTTAGCACAGATCAGAGAAGCTATGGCTACATGTAATCTTTCCTCTCTTCTCAGTGGAGGTGCTTCTGGCAGAATTGACTTAAAAGGCTGGATTCAACAGGCCGAATCCACAAAATATGTAACGGAATGTGTGGATGGACACTATACAGATGCAGGATAATAGACTTTGGTAGCAAGGGGCCAACCTTGCAGCAATAAAAAGCAAAATGACAACTGATGTACTATGAAGTTTGGAAAAGGCAGGCAGATGTTTTGTGGTTTGCACAGCTGAAGTGTACTCTGTTCTTTACCCAAAGCAACACAAAACAATAATTATTCCAAGAGACATACATTATCAAGGCAATAAATGGTTATAAATTAATTTTTCTGTTTACTTCCACTTCCATGTTTCTTGCATTCTTTCTACCATGTTCAATCGACCTATGGTTTTATGCATATTCTCCTCTCCCTTTTAGTAGTATTTCTAGTTACAATTTGCTGTCTCAAAATTGTAACAGTAATAAATATAAAACTAGAATGAAAGTAAAGTAGAAATGTAAGCAGTAATCAGTAAAAAATATACTAAAAATGATAAGTACACATATATTTTTATTCTCTGTCAGTAAAGATACTATTTCTCATTTTATTTTAGCTTATGGTCTTCAGTTAAGGATAGAATGCTATAACTGAAGAGATGCATTAAGTACCATTGACAGCTTCTAAGACAATAAAAATATCATGGATACTGGAATAGTGAACTACAACTGCATTTCTGTAGATGTGCAGATACCACAATACATTAAAAGCAAATGAATTGAAGACTGGAAGTTACAGGAGAATTCCTAAAAGGAACAAAGAAAAGGGCACAGCCTCCTTAAGATGAAAAATAAGGTTCATGCTGAAAAAATACATTTTATACGTGTGCATAAATACATATTTATACAAAACAGATACATATAAAGAAACCATTTACCAGATATGTTTGAATTGACCTGAAAATGCCTTTTTATCAAATATCACAAGGGACCAGTAGAATGCCGATTTCACAACAAGAACAAAAGATGAGAAGAATATATTCTCTAAGGAAAATTTAACTCGGGAATGGGGGCTTACTCTAATGTACAACTCAATAGGTAACAGAACTGAACAAATTTGTCAGGAATTCAACAAGAGAAGTCACTGTTGACTGCATTCTGCCCTTGGCGTGTACAAACACAGTCCCCAAGATACAGTTACTCAGAGCATACCACTTTTAATATTTCTTTTAATACTTCTCTACTTTTGCTGCAGAAAGTATTATTTTTCAGAAATTGTGACATCAAAAACTCAGGGCTATCTGTCAATTACAGCAAGTAGAAAATCCTTTGATGGGTTCAGAATATGTGCTGAACTGAGTGATACATAACTGACATACACTCAAGATTCAAGACTCTTTATTGAGCCACTGCTCTCTACGACAGAACTTTGAATTTATTAAATACATCCAGCAGTGTATTAAACCTGGAAAAAGAATTAACCCAGAATTCACTTCTGGTATGATGGTATCATGCCCTAGTGAGTCTAACTTGTTAAAATCCACGAGAAGAGGCAACAAAACTACAACAGAAACAGCAAATAAGCAAAGCCCAATGAACACAATCCTACCATCTAAGGAGCACTTTGTATCAAAACATTTCTATCACTTAAGAGTGTTTGAAGTAAAAATTTCTATACAGATAGCAACAAGAGATAAGCTTCTCTAAAGCAAGAAAAATCTAGGACTAAAAATTACGTGATCACTCAGGAGCTACAACTTTATAGAAATTCTTCTACAATTTGCTAGAGTTCCTACAAATGTCTGCCTATTCCCAAGAAACAGAAACAATCCTATCGATCTGCACGGCACCATTGATGAAGTCTGTTTTAACAATAAAAACTCGCACAGTATCTCTTACTTAGCAAAGATGTTTATGAGAAAGGTAAGAAGAGAAAAGTGTAAATGAATGTGTGAGAACACTGACATTCAAGAAGTAAATTAAGAAAGGTTTTTCTTCTTTCTATTGCCTGTTAAAACAACAAATAGGTTTAGAAACCTCTCATTTAACGTGACTTCTGACACAGCTGAACTCTGATTCATGAGAGATCTGAAGGTAACAAGACTGCTGGGATGAAGAGGGCGGTCCTACAATTTATTACTATAAATATCCTTAAATAGCCATAAAATGCTTTACATTCCTTTTCTGCAGGGGTAAACAAATACCATATTCAGCTGATCTGGACATTTCTTTGCTGCCTTGCTCTTACTGGTTCCTTAAAAATATTTAATTTAAAAAAAAAAATACACACACACATATATATATGCTATAAGAATGTTTTGACTGTGAAGCTTACAAACCAACATAAACGATATGCATTACTTTTAAGACAGAAGGATTTTTACTATAAAACAGAAAAGCCAAAGTGGAAATAATTTCTAAAGTTTTGCAAAGTTCAATTATGTGAAAGCAAACTGATTAAGGCACACATTTAAATGGACTTTTTGTACACTGCTTATATATTAATGTCAGATAAGCTTTTGCAGAATATATTCTAAGTAATCAGAAAATGTACAAAACAAGCATATAATTTAAATGCATGTCTAGCTGATGAACTAAAAGAATATAAGCTTCACTTTTTAAAATATTTTGGTGGTTTAGTTCTGCACAGATTTTGTTTTTATTAACTATTTTAGAAAAATGAAATTGGAATCCATCTTGACAGGGCTTTGGCACAATTTAAAATAATCTGCAAAAGCCTCCACTGGTATCCTTAAAAACTGCAGTATGTTGTAGTTGCATTAGCTTTACTTGATTGGTAGACTGCAATGAACAATGAGCAATTTATCACTGTTGACAGAATTTATCTGAAATTTACCCTCAAAGTAATCAGTCACTCACAGCATAAAATCTCACCAGCTATAGTTCTGAAAATTCTGTTTCATACCTAAAGCTGTGCCACCTCAGAAAATGAAG